TATCTGTAGCCTTGAGAATACAGGCTAAATTTAACTGATGATACTACTTGGAATCATACTATTTAGATTGTTTCCATGGAATAGACTTAACAATATCAAATAACAATGGATATCTATTTGAAATTATGCAATCTTTCCTATAGCTTACAATGTAAGTTCTAATAAACATTATGTGTTGCAGTCAGACTCATGTCAGTGGCATATCAATAAATCATTAAGTGAGAGGGCCAAGTAGGGGCCACAAAATTGCCAAGGGAATTTGCCAGGCAATTTTTTTCACTATGTATAATGCAAAGAAATGAGGGGATGGGGGGGGGTCTTGCCTCAGTAAATTGTGCAAAGGCGTAATGTTGCCACAATGAAGGCTGCTGTTAGCTAGTTGTGTATGATTCTAGTGGAGAGAGTTATTGAGGTATAGAAGGAGATTAGTCTGGGTCACAATAAGTACCTGTCATTCTCTGATTATTACTTTATAATATCAATCAGTCTAAATACTTCTTTACAATAATAACACACAAAATCGGAGATGAAAGAACATTTCTTCCCTTTTGTAGTGGTCTGAAAAGACAGATGAAATTCGAGATTTTTTTCGTAGGTCAAAATGTTTTGCTCAAGTTTATGTACACATAAATCTAGAGAAATGTTTCCCCTTAAGGAATTGTCTACTTTGAGAATTTATCTTTAAATATTATTATATAAGATATCATTCAAGGTTTTTGTGGTTGTTTACCTCACAGTTTGTCTTAAAAATCAAATTAACATCATTTATCATTTATGTCACATCGTAGATAGGCAATAATAAAATAGCGACATTTCACGCGAGGGGATACGTTGTAACAAGAAGAAATAACAATGATCTGAATTTCTTTAAAATATTTCATTCAACTTTAAACCTAGCAAAAGACCGGCAATCTTTGCATCAATCATGCTTTTAAATCGAGCATACTTTTTTCAGGTATACATGATCGTTTCTTCGAAGAATAGATATAAGAAACAGTAGGCTAAAGACCTGCGAAAAATTACAAATCTTCATTTTTGTAGAAGAAAGCCACAACTTATTGTGGTCTGATAAATCCCCGTTTAGAGATTGATTATTTAATGACCTGATTCAATACATGCCACTCAATGACAGCCATATTGCTTGGTTTACATTTCCATCTACAGCGTCGTAATCTTGTGTATTAACTTCATGCCAAAACAATATGGTGGCCCTCATGAACAAGCGATATAGGTTGAAAATGCTGTCAAGCGAGATTCTGTAAAATTTAAATAGTTTTTAAAGGGTTTTTCACCATAAAACTTGGATTTCATTATAAACCTGACTATTCCTTACTTACCTGGAAGTTTTAACTTCAAAGTATCTTGCAGTAATTTTAGAACAACAAAAGTAGTTACAAGGTTTCTGTAAACAGTTCCTTTAGTAACATTAATCACATAACCATATTGTCAACATTAATTTTGATTGGTAGAAAATTTATTTTTCAAACTTTTCTTGGGGGAGAATATCCACAAACTCTTCTCAAGATGCAAACGCCACATGCCACCAATGAGAATGCTTGCCAGAATGGCCTCAGATACAAGGAAATTAAAATTTAGTTTCAAAATATTCTCCCAACAATCTTCAAAGGGCAGAATTGTATGTTGTCAATGAGAGTCTGTCCAGAAGGTCCTCAGATGCAAGGAGACAACCAAAATCTCTGTAAAATGAAATTTTCTTTCTCATTATTTCAATCTATTTCCTGAGCAAGTTTTTTGAAGTTCCCTATTATATTTATGAGAATTAAACTAATCTAAGAATGTCTTAGCGTTGATAAATATATGTATAGCAATCATTGATCTGTAGCATCAATTCAACCTAGTAGGAATATATGATGTATACTTATCATTGACCTGTAGCATCAATTCTAGGAATATATGATGTATACTTATCATTGACCTGGATCATTAATTCAACCTAGTAGGAATATATGATGTATACTAATCATTGATCTGTAGCATCAATTCAACCTAGTAGGAATATATGATGTATACTTATCATTGACCTGTAGCATCTCAATTCTAGGAATATATGATGTATACTTATCATTGACCTGTAGCATCAATTCTAGGAATATATGATGTATACTTATCATTGACCTGGATCATTAATTCAACCTAGTAGGAATATATGATGTATACTAATCATTGATCTGTAGCATCAATTCAACCTAGTAGGAATATAATGATGTATACTAATCATTGATCTGTAGCATCAATTCTAGGAATATATGATGTATACTTATCATTGACCTGTAGCATCAATTCTAGGAATATATGATGTATACTTATCAGTAACCTGTAACATTAAATCAACATTATAGGAATAATCCTATAACTGAGAATCAGCTTTGATGTTTTCTTTGATTTATACTGGTTTCAAGAGCTGAACACTCTCAATATCATTATACTCACAGTGTATTGTTTCAAAATTGTAGATTCATATAAGAATATTTGTATATACATACACAGAAGAAAAACATTTAAAGAATAAGCTAGACAAGAATACAAGCTGTTACAATATGAAAATTGATCTGTTTAAACAAAGTTTGTTAGAATTTAGGTCGTATTTTAAGCTCAATAAATTTATATGTTTTAACTATTGATTGTTGTTCTTTATTAGACTCTCATTTCAGCAAATCCACTATCTTTTGAACATATAGAAATAAATTTTAAAAAAGATTCAACTTATTTACAGGCATACTGCACCAGGCTCAAAACTAGAGGAATGCAGAGGGTGATGGGCTCCCTTGGAACTATATTCGCCCCCCATGCAAATTTCAAACAAATTCTCAATAGAAGCTGAAATCAGTCTCTATCAGCTATTGCTCCCCTTCGCACATTGGGCTGGTAACGGGACTGTACTGCACAGACTAGGAGTTTAATAGAAAAGGCTTTATCCATAGCGAGATATAGCGAAGTCTGATATTAAGAATGGGCGTACCAATACTATAGAATGTTAGCTCTCTCAGTCATCTACCAGAGAATGATGTGCACTACTTACCAAAACTAAATCGCCACTTCATTCTTATAAAATCAAAAATGATTTTTATCTGCATGATGTTGGGCAGTGCCTACCATGTAAAATTTTCTAATTTGGGAAGTCTGAGAATACATTTCATCCAGCTCCTTCGCAAGGAATGAATTGGTGCTGGGGCTTAGATTTTGCACTCATTTCTGACAATTTTGAGGTGCCAATAACTTTTTAATTTTGTTCAAAGATACTGTAAATGTGACGTTACAGGCACGCAGTAGAGGGACATAACTCTTGCAAGTTATGACCAATTTCATGTATTGAACTTGTCTTGTTTCGTTTTATGGATTTATGTATTTTGTATTACGGTTCTGATCATTTGTACTGGGTATTTATTTTATAACAGATTTTACCATAAATTATAGTTACGATTTCCTTAGCAGGTCCAAATTATAAATAAAAAGAAAATCGAAACAGGACAACAGATTAAAATATCTTGTTTCATATGAAACAAATGGCCATTCCGGATTTCATCAGAAACTTTTAGTTTCGTTTTAAAGGTCGTTTTTGTGCAGTTGGCACGATGCGTCAAGTTGGGCAATGCGGCAAAACGAACCCAAACGAGCTAGATTATAGCTAGATCTAGGCCTACCTGTGATCCTTTTCAGTGAATAAACCTCAAATTCACAGACTCTTTATGCGTTTCTAACTGCAATTCCAATAAGGAATATCTTATTATGTTCAGAAGAAGAATTGATAAAAAAAATTCTCGACTCCAGCCATAAAACTGATTCCCGCCAAAAATTGAATTGTATTTCAATGACCTTGAACGAATTTTATTTATAAATTGAAAACTGAATAGTCTTACTTCTGTATTGAATCCAATGACATCTTGAAGACGAGAACCAACAGATGTATAAATACAACTGAGTGTTCCTTCTTCACTTCTAGTCTTCATTCCTTTCTTACTCGTCTTGCGATGAAATTAATGATCGAAGGGGAGCAACTGCAATTAAAAGATTATTGCTGACGTTACACGTACAATATGGCAGCTTACAGATCACGAATTGAAAGTAGTATTGCAATGTCAAAAGAAATGTTTAGTTTGTGCTTTACTGATAATATGATTGTCTACATTAGTGGTCATTGTTTTACTGCAAGTTTATCTTCATCAAGAAACTGATTATGGTACGCACTATAATTAGATGTCAATAGCATAGGCTACTAGGCCTACTCTATAACGATTATTGGAACATGTTACAATTACATAAGTAAAAAAGTAACCTATACCGGTAGCCCTAAGTGGCGTAGACAGGATTTTATTGACGGTCACCTAGACTCCACTTTTTGATTTTAGAGGGTAATTATCGACACTGTAAAATTTAAAATATCTTGGAGTGGAAGGTGGAGAATGCATCTAAAAAAAAATGTGGGCAGTGAAAGTAAAATAAATAAGGAAGGTGTGGGGAGGTGTTAATGCAATTAATTCTACCCCCAGACTGGATATAAATATAGACTTATATTTGGCAGGCCTAATGTAAAATCAATAAAAATTGATTTCTTTTCGCTTTTGCTAGGCCTAGGCCGCTATAAGATGAAAGGCTTTTAGTAGGCCTATACCAGTAGGCTATCCCAAGATTCATATCAAGATAAGACAACCTTATTTTTTATGATATGTTTATGCCTGTATATTAGACTACCTGATTGTATAGTTTGAAATATCATGAAATTGAATCTGATACCGTACTGGGTAGGCTATATTCATTGTTATTCTTGGGATTGTTCATTCTGAAAACAACTTCGTTTTGTATCAAACTTGTTTGATTTAGTTATACCGGTATATTTTATTATTTCAGGATTGTTAATATTCAAATTATGGCTTATTAAACTTTAGGGCTTGTGCTGCCCAAATATTTGTATGGGCTAGCTAATTAAGCTTATTATTTGAGAAAATAGAGATTTGAACAAGATGCCGGTTAATTTAGATAAAGAGTGTGGGCCTAGATGCCGATCACATCAACATGCCTTAGAGATCAATGCAGCAATAACTAAAGGTGGATTAAGAGAGTTCAAAGCCTATACTTCATTGTGTTCTAATGCTACCAATGTCAATGATAAATTTGGAAGAAATGTGTTACATATGGCTGCTTCATGTGGAAAACTTGATATAATTGAATATCTATTAGAAGAAAAAGAGTACAATCTAAAAGCTAAAGATTATGAATCTGGATGGACAGCCCTTCATAGAGCTTTATTTTATGGTCAGTTGGCAGCAGCTAGATTACTAATACAGGTTAGATGATTTGTTATCCATTTATTATTTATTCAAAAGACAAAAACCATATATAAGGTTACAATCAATTGAAACAAGATAACTGTTGACAAAGGACTTATCAAAGAAGAACGCTAAGTTAAGTCAGTTGCAATGTAGTATTAGATGTTCTCGAGGGTGAGCAGATTATTTTGCTTTCCAATGCCATGCACTTAGTTTTGAACTGTGTTAGCGTACAAGGCTTTGTGTTATGAGTGTAATATTTAAAGTTTGTTTCAAACCCCATCAAAACTAATAATTATATACCAGTGTTATGGTTATTTTCAGTATAAACATGATATCAGAACAAGAGATTTTGAAGGGTTAAGTCCGTTAGATATAATACTAATAGATAGACCTAGTTATATCTCATTCTCACCAAGAGGTAAGTAGCCAACCAATCCTATATTATCACATCAACTATTTCTCAAAGGTGCTCTCACCTCATAACAAACAGTTGCATATGGTTGCAAATAAAATTTGAACGCAACTCCCATGAATCTGAGTTGCGAGTTGCATTTGAAACACATGACCAATTTCATTATTTTCGATAATAATCATCATGATCAAGTCATCATTGTCACTTTGATATTATGTAATTTCAGAACCAAATGAAGTGTATACATGGGGAGACAACTCCAATTTTAATTTAGGACACTCCAGTCAAGATAGAAGAATTATACCAGAAAGAGTTGGGGTATTTAAAAGAATTTCAGGGTTTATCATACAGGTACTTTCTTAGTTGTTTTGCTTTTACTGGTTTTGCTTAAGAAAGAAATAATGAAACAAACTATCTTTTACAAGAATAGTAATTTAGGTAGTAGAGGATCCCATCTATCACCTGGCCCCCGTTTCACCAAAGTGCGTAAGTTTATTCGAAAATATTTAAACTTATGACCATCTTACGCAAATTGTTAAGCATGTTTCACTAACAAACTTACGAAGATCTTAGCTACGAATGTTTCAAGCACGTCATCCACAACATTGTTTTGTTGAATTGACATCTTTATTTAATCAATTTACAGAAAATATATATATTTCATAAGACTTACATGTCCCCTAAATACTTTTAAACTGATCAATGATAAGATTTTGAAGAGTAAAACCTTGACATTAACAACATCATCTTACTAATGACAGTCGAAAAAAGCGAAAGGTCAAAATGAAAAAATAAGGCGAATTATGTAGGAAAAATGTGAAAACCATTCAATGTTTTGATGTTAATGAGTTCAATAGGGAATAGCTGTTGTAAATTATGCCCAAAATTAAGAGAATTTCTTAACATAAGAATTTTAGCAAAACGCAAATTTCTCAATACTTTCAGAATAAATATTTTATTTCTTTTTTTCTTTTTTATTCTAGGTAGTAATGTGTAAGTTCCATACTGTATTTTTAAGTCAAATTGGACAAGTCTATTCATGTGGACATGGTCATGGAGGTAGATTAGGTCATTCTGATCAACAAACTCATGTTGTAAGTTACTTAAAATTATATTTTAACCTAGAATTTGATTGGTATGAATAGTGACGGAAAATTCATAAATAAAGGTAACCTTACTACCATAGTTGATTATTATTATCTCATTCTAGTATTTCTTTAGCAGCCAAATCAATAATTTAGTAACCATACCTTTATCTATATGATCATTTTAAAATTAATTTGTAGGTCCCCAAACTAATAGAAGGTATTAAGAAAGAGAATTGCATACAAGTAGCAGCAGCTCAAGATCACACACTATTTCTTACTGATAAGTAGGTTTATATCTATATTGCTTCTTTTTTCCTAATGTTTATTTATATAACACATCTCAAAATCTGAAACCTCTAGTGAAACCGGTTGTATTATTTACTGATTGGTCAGTTTGTAGCAAGGAGATCTGAGTTAAGAGATATTATTCCCTGCTTTTTATATGACATCTCCTTTGGAGTTGTTTGTGTTTATGCTGCAAATAAATTTGTATTTACTTTGTGTATTTTAGAGGCATTGTGTATGGGTGTGGATCAAATGTCAATCATCAACTAGGTTTTACTGATCCAGTACTAGAAGTATCATTTACTCCAAGAATGGTAAGATAATGTTTTTCATTCTTTTTGCTTTTCTTTTTTAGATAAATCATGAAGTATAAAAGGGTTATAATATGATAGTATAATGTATATTGTAGATTAATCAAGAAGTGATAAAGGGGTATAACATAATGGGAATATGTGCAGGGAGATATCACTCAGTTGTATATTCTAGAGATGCTGTTTTCACTTTTGGCCTAAATGCTGGACAATTAGGTGAGGTTTTACTAACTTTGTATTCACGTATTTTGTGTATGTCCATTATTCAAAATGCTGCTCTTATAAAGCTTGATAGGTGATGTGTTTTATACTTGGGTTGATCCCTGTGTTGCTTGAGATAGCATTTTTTGGATATTTCAACCTAATTAGGCTTTGTGTCTAGTTTCTAGACAATTCAAAATTTGAAAAGGGTAATCTCAATAGAAATGCTGTAAATTCACTAAATATTCATCATTGCACACTGAATGGCCATGTCAAGTTTCATTTGCACATGAAGATGCCAGCAGATCAATTCAATACAAGAGACGTATATCAATGGTGATCCCCGTTTGTTTTATCAACTTGTCTTTAAAGGCTTCTTAATCCAATTTTATTTATTTCTATGATCAATTAAATCATGTGTGTTGTTTTATAATATTTAGGTCATAAGAGGGGTGATAAATACCAGATACATCCTAGAATGATTTCAAGTTTTAATGAGTCTGATATTAATATAGTACAAGTTAAATGTTCTGACTCTACTACTGTATGTTTAACATCATTAGGTGATATTTATTCTTGTTCGAGATATACTTGTCGTAAAATAGGCTCTAGGTAAATATATTCTTTTTAAGCTCATAATCTCATCTTTAAAACTTCTTAAGGGGGGTCACCAGTTGCGTATGGTTGAGATTAAGAATCATATTCATAAGTTTCGGAAGCAACCTTAGATGTGTTTGGAACTTAGGATCACTTTCATTATGCTAATGGTAATTGCTATGGTGTAAGAGCACCTTTAAGGAAAGTAAAACAATTAAAAACTACACTTATAACCAATAACTCAATAGTTCTTGAACTTTATTTATATTTGCTAATGATTTGCAATATAGTGAAAGATGAAGGTCTTAAAGCAAACTAATGGATGGTGAACTGTTGTTTTGCCGAATTCAGTATATGATAGTATATGAATATTTAGTATAAAAACCTGTATGTAGCAGTTTCCTACCAACTAAAATCACCTTTCAGCCATACATGACAAAGGCGAATTGAGTATATCTGATGCATTATAACCTTACACTATTTGATAATTCATGAACTGAAAATTTGATTATATTATAGATGGTTAGATATAAAGACTATAACTGTATCTGGTGGTACATTAGATCATCTTGTAACCACTGATAGAGATTTATTGAAAGAGAAGGGTGGTTCAGAATTAATTGTTGCTATGGTAACTAATAAAGGCATGGTAAGTAAAATCTCAGATTTTTACCAACCAAACTTCATACTATTTAGTATATAGCATTATTAGTAGACTTTAATTTGCACAAGTCTCACTTCAAAATCAACAAAACTACTAAGTTGGATACCAGATAATGTCTTTAACTATCTTGGATCATTTAAATGGAACCATTTACAAATTTATAAAACTATATATGTTATAGGTTTTTATGTGGAGAGAGAAGAGTCCCCATTTTAAACGATGTAATTGGATGATTAGACGTGAATTATCAATATGTGATGTATATTTAAATACCAATAATATGGGTATAATAACAGATAAAGGTGAAGGTTTTCTAGCAATATGGTCTGCTGTCAGTAAAGACAAGAAAAAACAGAAGATGGCAAATAAATATAAACAAGGTATGGTTTATGAAATTTTAATGTGATGCAGAATTTACAACAACAAAATATTTTCATTGTTAAAATAGTGCTCAATTGTATAAATTGATAAAGTGATATAGAAATATGAACCTGAAACTTGTTGTTACTCAGAGTTTTATGTTGTGCAATCTTTAGATGATTGATCTTACTCTTATTCGCCAAAGAAATCAAGAACAATTCAAACAATGCAAAAATTAACTAAAATTTGAAGCAAAATATAGATATTAAGGGAGAAAACCTATTCTATACACTTCGAATTAAATGAACTGAGTTATGATATTAAACCTAGTCATGCATTGTTAAATACATGAAAATTGAAAACCACTTTTTCAGTAAATGATGAATTTCCAACAGTACGATTATTAGATTTTATATTGAAAAATGATGTAGAAGATATACAGATAGAAAGAATACCAAACATACACAGAGCTACTAATATTGTCTCAGATTCCAAGGGAAGAAATTTTGCTGCTTTACAAGTTTTACCTAATGGCTGGTAGGATTTTCTAGTGTCAAGAAAAAATCATGTCATGAACAGGCCTGTTGCTCTATTGTATTCTGAAATCTAAAAAAAATTGTGTGTGTGAATGCGTCAATCTGTGTTTATGTCCAGATGATAATAAAACGAGATGGTGAAATCTATAGTTTGTTTGAACTGTTCAGAAAGCTTATTTCATATGGAAGAGAATAATATTTATCTTTTTAGAAAATTCAAATTAGTTTTCCCTGGAAATCAAAACGACAAAACAAAAATAAAAAAACAAAACTTCGCATTATAATAGTTTTCTGAATATCAATTTGAAACTGAAGGGAAGGATCCCAAATCTTCATAAAATACTAAACCATTCTCAAGAAATCAGTTTCATATAATAATACCATATTTTCATAACATGAAATAGACCAGACAACACCCTTAAAGTTTCAAATAACTTGATAAAATTTCAGACCTTTTCAATGTCAATTGAGTCTTAAGATGAAAATACCAGAAATTTCCATTACAACATAAAAATGTATTTGATTTCAGCCTAACAGAAATACCATACATAAGAGAATCTAGTTTAAGAAAGGATATGATGTGTTTATTTAACCAGAGTAGTGAATCTGATGTGATACATGACGTAATAATACAGGTAATACACATTGTATTCATCATTTAGCTGGTACAATAATATATGATACAAAATAAGATATAGTTATCATGTTTAATGTATCACTAAAGAACACGACCACCTGTTGCATAAGTAAAGATGTAGAATTTCTTTTCTTATAAATATAGTTTATTGATGTTTGTTTAAAACAATTTATATTGATTTAAATGAAAATGAATGATCATGTGACAAGGCTGTTGATTTATCTGTATTTGCCAGTCATGTCTAACTGGAGCTCCAATATGAATGACTGTAATTTTGATCGTTAAGATATTTTCTATGCAAATTTGCATTTTTCATATATTTTTCAATGAAAATTGGTGCAGTGTTTTAATGTCTGGTTGGAAATTTCTAAAATAAACAGCCCTGTGCTGTGATAATTTAAAATTATCTATATATTTATCTTTAACAGTGTGGAAATAAAAGATGGGCAGCACATAGATATATACTAGCTAGTCGCAGTGAGAAGTTTGATAAAATGATAAAAGATACACTAACAGATAATAATGACCAGACGCCAATATTTGATCTGAGTGATATTCACCCTGTAATTATAGAGGAAATATTATTATTTCTATATACTGATACTTGTACAGCTTTAACTATAGACAGTCATTTTCAACTCGACACAAACTGTGATAGCCCTATAGACAATATTCCTAAATTAGAATATATGACAAAAACACAACGTAAAAAATACTATCGAAGATTACATAGAGAAAATAGTGAAAAGTCTGAAGAAAAAGAAGTTAAATCTGTTGTTAATATTTTACAAGATACTGCTGAAGATTTTGGTATTTATGATCTTGTGGAAAGGTAAGAGTTTGTATCATTTCATTTTTGTATATATTTGATCAAATTAAACGTCAGTATCAACAATCAGATGAACAGATATACATAATTATATGAAATGTACATAATCATTTTGAATAAATTGTCATCCATATGAAAAAAAAGTGTAATAATTATTGACCAGGTAAACCTGGCGATGAACATTCCCAGACATGTTTCTAATACTCTGGTAACAGTTCTTCACTTGTTTTCAAATCAGTACTGGTATGTTTTACTGTTTATTTATTAGACTAGATTGTGTGAAGGTATTTAATGATATTATTTGTTCTAATGGTAAACCACTAGCTAAACCTAAACTACACTTCAATAGGACTGAACAGTAAGTTTACTTAATAATCTAAAATAGAAACTTTTTAAAAAGTAAAGTAGAAAATAGAATCAGAAACATGTTACTATACAAATTGTAGATAAGTGTCAGATTAAGTATTCAATTCTTGAAGAAGTTAAAGATGATCATAGATTTCGTGTTCACAGTGTTCTTTACTTCACAATCTGTTTTGTGTTTTCTAGTCCAGAACTCTATGATGTATGTATTAAATCAGATGATAATATAACAGTAGAATGTCATAAATGTATATTGGTAGCTAGAATGGAGTATTTTTATAGTATGTTAGCAACTGGATGGATTGAGGTAAATATATCAAATCTGAATTTACTAATATAAGTAAAATGTTTATTTTTTTAATCACAGCTTTGTTAATTGTTGTTATATCTTGTTGACAAATCCAGTATGAGGGCAGCATCAATTATCCAATGTTTGCCCTTTCTCAGTATCAACACCAATCTCAGTACTTATTACACTATTATACTATTACTATAATGTGCTTAAGTTTTTGTAAAATTACTTATTTACATAAATAAGGGTTTATAATGCCAACGTTTTTATTTATTTACTGATTAAACTTTTTTTGTCATTATTATAGACATCCAACTCTACAGGGCTATCATTACCTATACCTGGTAAAATATTATATATATTAATAGAGTATATTTATACTGATGATGTTCCACAAATAACAGGTACGTTAACAGATACCTACATGTAAGAAATAAGCCAGTGTGACAGGATAAAATCGAGATAGTGAAAGACTGGTGTACGAATTTAAGATCTGTAGATGTTTGCAAATTGAAAAAAAAGCCATTGCAGTAGTATTAAAATTTTCCTTAAAGGTATGAACTACATTGAGTTGCTTGTCTTCATTAGCTCAATGTAGAGCACAGTTCCAGAAGATACATGGAAACAAAAATGAAGCAGAAAAGAATGTGCTGTTTTATTATTTTGATATTTCAGATACTATGAATGTAGATTTATTATGTAATATATTAGTTTTAGCTGATAAATTATTAATAGAAAGACTTAAAGAATTAAGTGAGGTGGCTATTGTAAATTCATGTAGGTGACATAAACTTTTTTCTCATCTTTTTCAAGGATTTGATATTTACAATACAATACAATACAATTTACATATGAACGTATCCATTAGAAAATGATACAAATGTGTAATAAGATTTAAAATACAGTTAAATAGGATTATATTTATGACAACAGACCTGTTCGATCTGTTCCTTCCTTCATTTTGATTTAAAGTTGAATTATAATTGGTATGTAATTAATTGACTAAATGATAAATGTATTTTTTGCATTTAGATAATTAAAAGTAATATTTTGTTTCAGTAAATTTTTGGAATGTGGCTGATTTATTGAAGTTTTCTATCATTTATAATGCACATCAACTATATCTATCTTGTCAACAATTTATATGTCTTAATCTTCCAGTCTTTCTTGAATCAAGGTAATTTATTTCTTCTGCCAGTAATGGGGCTTCTATATATTTTGGCTACCTATAAAATCAGGTGCAAAAAAGTGAGCCTTAAAACACCTTCATGGTCAATTCTTATAGTTTCATAAGTTCTAAATGTCTCTTACGTATGTTTTGGCTTTTTATAATTGTTAATATATTTATTTAGATTATTAAATAATCTAGATGAAGAAGAGCTAGAGAAGCTAACTGTGTATTATAGACAGTTGGTAAGTTTGATACTCATAATAATGTAGGCCTATAGCCTATGTTGTCCACTTCCAACATTTAAACATAGATGTGGGTTGACTGAAATAATTAGGAAATATTTCTCAAGACTTTAGCAAGATAAACAAGCCTAATTCTCATGACAACCATATTCTAGTTACACACAAATTTGATCCAGATTCTTTTATTTCAATTGTCTATGTATAAAGAGATACAGTTGTGTTAAGCCTTAATATATATTATTTAATTGATTTGATATTGTTTTTGTTTGTAGATACCTGCAATGGATCAACGATATATAACACCTTATAGCTGTGGTCCCTCTACAGAATATTTAAAATATCTCTCACAACATTATTCAGAAGAAACTAATACAGTGCTATGTGATGTGACTCCTATAAGACATAAAAATAGAACTAAAAGTGAGAGCAATGATAATAAGAAATCTCGTGATAGACAGATATCAATATGTTCTGATATTAGTGTACAATCTGATGATATTAATGTTGTGATAGACAGTATGACAGATAAGGTAGGAATAAATGGAACAAGCCATTTTGCTTAAAGGGACAGTCTCAGAGAGCGATATTTTTGAGCAAAACCAATCAGTGTGTCCAGAATTTGAAAGTTAAAATGACAACTCGTCTTTTCTTGAGACTGCCATGTCAGACATAGAAAGTGAAATTCCTTGTTTGAGATATATTTGAAGGGATTATGTGGTTTTCTTGCAGTTCTAGTAACAGACATTTGTTTCTATCAATAGCAGACTCTCTCTATAATAGTATATACTGGACTCGGCTATTGATAAAAACAAATGCCTGTGGTTCTAGTACTTCAGAAGACTATTAACATATATTCAAGGCCTTTATACATAGTAATGAATAAACAAGGACAAATATAATTTTATGAAAAACTAAATATTTCTTTGTTAAATTATTGAGACTTCTATTGACATTATTTTAGAATAACTCAGCCTGTGAAGAAGGTATGGTGTGTGATGATAAAGTTAATAATAGTATACAAGATATAGCTGAAGAAATTCCTAATCCGTTCAATCAATGTCCCAATACTCCCTTTCCTGCAAACTCTACAGATACAGACAGTCCTTGTTTAAGAGATGTGATTAATTCAGAGAAATCACTAAATAAACAAGATAAGAAAAGGTAAGCAAGGGAATTAAATATTTTAGTTCAATTTAAATGGACAAAGAAGGTAGTAGTGTGTCATGATTTTAGTAATATTTAGATCCTGTGTCATACAGAAGCTGTACTTTCCTGTACTGGTACAGTACTAGCTCTCTTGCTTTTGGCAGTTTTCTTATACAGTCAAGCAAAAGAGTAATTGAAACTACATAAGCTAGACTATCTTTATTAGTATAGTACTAGTACAGCATACAAATAAAATTGACATGTTCAATGACTTTGGTAAATAGTGATATTGATACTTAAATTCAACTTTGTTTTTATTCCTAACACACCTTCAAGTAAGAAAAAGATTTCTTGGAAAGAAGCAAAGAAAATTCAAAAACAGAAAGAAGTTGAAGAACAGCAACAACAGGCTGCTAAAAAGAAGAAGAAAAAAGAGCCTAAAGAAGTGGTGTGTCCATGGTAGGTTTATCAACATTTTATTTGTTTGTATTAGTAGTAAGACAACCAAATCAATATCTTTGTGATTTTGTAAATATACATAAACATAATATTTATTTGGAAGTTAAGATTTGAAATTTGTACATATATCGTTGATATGTTGTTTTAGGGCTGGTGTAAATAAAGTTGTGAAGTCATTTCGTGATTTGATGATTGAAGAAGAGAAATCACCTACATCTAAAACACAAACAGCTACATCTAGTCCTAGTCCAACCAGTCCTGAAGCTATAGTCAATAGAAAACAGAGATTAAGTATCAGTAGTCCTGAACCAGACAGTTCTAATGATATTATGTTTAGTACATCACCACATCAAGATGTTACTCTATCAAGGTATTAAATCATATGAGGAATCTTACTTGATTTTTCTCACGTTCAAATTGTAGATTCATGAGGTGCATTTAAAATGTATCATTTGTACAAGACTTTAAATAAAAATTTGATGGTCTTCATGTTCAAAATCACCCTAGTAACCAGATTTTTGCTAAGATAGTCTGTAGTAAATATGTTTAAGAAATTTGATTGGTCATTTATGTTGGGTAGTGTTCACTATTAGAACAGCTATTTCCAGTGATATGTTATATGAACATGAACTATACAATTTTTAAATCAGGATGGAGTTCAAGGTGCTATTTCAAGTAATGCATATAATTTTTTCTATTACAGCTGGGTTACATTGCCAAAAAAATCGAAACCAAAGATAGTTATCCCACCAGTGTGTAAAGAACCAGTAAATCCATGGCAGAAATTACCACCTATATCTCCTACAACCCCTGTACTTACTGATTCTAGCTTTATAAATATTGTTAAAGATGAAAAACATAAGGAAATTGCCTCAGAAAAAATCAGGAAGAAACCTTTTAAATTAGTTCAGGTAATGTTCACCACTTCGATGGCTCAGTGAGTTTGCTTGCTAAGGTGTATGGAATTCGATTCTCACTTAAATGAGGATATTATCTTTCGCTTTTTCAAACCAGTTTCCCCTGTCAGCAATATGGGAGCCTTACATACAAATTTGTGAAGTTGTTCAGATGTGACAATAAACCAAGCACTCTTACAAAGTAACTATTTTTTTGAAAGCATTTATTAGTGTGATATTTCATTCCATGAATACAAAAAGCTGGTTTACATTATGACGTGCAAATTATCTATATTTTTCTTTTAATAGATTGAAGAAAGAGCACTACAAGAATTGCTAGAACATTATAAAATCAACAATAACTATGATGAATATTTAACAGTGGAACGTGTTCCTAGACAAACAGCATCACCGTTATGGATAAAGGAGAAACCAAAACCTAAATCGACTATATGGTGACATCTTAAAATGATTTTATATCATTTTTCATGTGAAATGCATTTTGATCATGTGCAATGTTAAATGAAGATGAATCATTCATTGATTAACAGAATAAAGATTATATTTTATTTTTTGGCATTATATTAGCAATATTTTCAGCCTTTTAAATATTTGAGACATGTACTCACTTTCTGTATTTAAACACTATCATATGAATTTTACCACTGTACTTGGTGAAACCAGAGACCTATTTAACATAATTTTAACTGAAGCATACATGTACTTCGCGTTTTCATTTCTAGTATATATTGATATTATTGGTATCAGGATTGTTACAAATCATCCTGTTGTTTAATTTATATAAAGATAATTGTTTATGGTGCTAGTTGAAATAAACTTTATTTTCTTATAACTGGTGTTGTTTTTATTATTACATTGCAGTTATAACTCATATATTTAAGTCTATATTATACAATTTGAAACAGTTAGATTTAATTTCAACAACAAAGTAATGTCTAAACATACTGATACATTCTAGATGCAGCCAGCTTGGTGAGACTTGAATCGATTTGATAAGAAACGGTTCATTTGTGTTTATTACAGGCTTGATCAAATATGTTCTATCAAACATATTATAATTAAAACAAAGTTTGCAATTGCTCGTAATTTTTAATTTTTTCACTCATATGTAGTTTGTTTCACTCTACAATGCAAACAATTGTGCATTTTGAAGTAACAAAGAGATATATTCACATAGTACTTAGTGACTAACTTGTTTACTCAATTCTTTTACATGCAACAAAAACAAATTACTAAGATAAGCATAAACTAATTTTATAGTACTTTCATTTTTAACAATATTAACATCAATACAAGTGAACATTTATTTTACCCTGTGCCTGTGGAATCGTAAACTTGATAATTTTGAACAATCTGAACTTTATTACTAACAAATAAATAAATAAAAAAACTATATTAAAATATGTTTATCACAGCTATTAAAAAGGTTACACAACCACAATGTCATTACCTTATACTCATTGTTGATCATACAGCTAGGCACCTGTCAACAAATCACTCATTATTCAAAGGGATTTCAGGTTCTATATATTCAACCTTAACAAATGGAATTGTTAACAAAAGATTTTGACTTTAATTTCTTCTTCCTTATCTAAAATCTTAAAAACACATCATGTCAAAACAGAGAACCTTTATAAAAAGTATGAATGTAAATATAGCATTCTATTTATTTTCTGAATAACAACATTCTTTCAGAACAGGTTTTACCAGTTAAAGTAGCATATTCTATCACTTCTAATTCATCTTTACATCTTGGATTGAGAAATTTATATACTTCATAAGGCATGGCTTCACCATTTTTAAGAACTAGAACTTTGTTGACATCTATCTTACTATTTTCATCTTCTAGAAGTAAATAAACACTAGTTTTCATTTTAGCACATGAAATAAATTCTGTTTCCTAATTAAATTAATAATTCAACTGATTAGAAGTTATATATTAAACTACTACTTTAAATAAATGACAATAGACATTATTTACTTGATCTCTCTGTGTTTTAGTAATCATAGTGTAATAGTTGTCTGCATAAAATTGTAAAACCACTGCTGTGACTTGTTAAAGATTGTTGATATTTTACTGACCTTCATTAGAATCATTTAGTCTACTATATTTATTTTTATCTAATTTTGGCCGACATATTTCTATCGGCACCCATTGAAAAGTTTCTGGACAAACTAAGAGGGATGGGTAATATTGACCCTGCAAAGAGAAATAATTTCTTGCAAATGTCAAACAATATTCCTTGATATTACTACAATATTCTATAATATATACTACAATATTCTATAATATATACTACAATGTTCTATAATATATACTACAATATTCTATAATATATACTACAATATTCTATAATATATACTACAATATTCTATAATATATACTACAATATTCTATAATATATACTACAATGTTCTATAATATATACTACAATGTTCTATAATATATACTACAATATTCTATAATATATACTACAATATTCTATAATATATACTACAATATTTTATAATATATACTACAATATTCTATAATATATACTACAATGTTTTATAATATATACTACAATATTCCATAATATATACTACAATATTCCATAATATATACACAACAATATATACTACAATATTCCATAATATATACTACAATATTCTATAATATATACTACAATATTCATAATATATACTACAAAATTCCATAATAATTATATTCTATAATATATACTACAATACTCTATAATATATACTACAATATTCCATAATATATACTACAATGTTCTATAATATATACTACAATATTCTATAATATATACTACAATGTTTCATAATATATACTACAAAATTCCATAATAATTATATACTCCAAAATTTCTTATCAACTCAGGCAAATTGCCTTTTGGTAAAAGTATGATATGAACTGGAATTGATTGATATATACTTAACAAATTATGTGCTTTTAGTACAACCTTCATAGGACTGGATGCAGTTTTAAACAGACGGTTTATATTCTAAATCATAGTTTACGATGTATAGAACTAGTGACTTACTTTGTATCTCATTTTTGGACAGGAATGTATATAGAATCCCATGTAGTAATATTTTAAATTATTATTGTATTTATTAAGTTCACGTACAAAAGCTATTTCTCTGAAAAAAATATATGAATTTCATTTTATTATTTACATAAGTCAATGCTCTAAAAGAGGTAAAAAAAATCGTAAATAAAATAATTTTTTGATTCCATACTTTGTCAGTCTTGCTGCAAAGTAATTATGTGACAAGACGTACCTTAAAGCAGTATAAGTACCAAGTGATAAGAAATGATATTCAGGATCATAATATAAATATACTGATGATACACTGGAGGTTAGGATATCTATTACACCAACAGCTATCAATTTACCATCTAATATATAATGTTGATGAAATGATCCATAACCCATTGGTAAGTTTTCATTCACATGCTAAAAAATACAAACAAACTTTATTAATAGGCAGAATAATGGCATGTATACATTTGCTTTAGCATTTAATAAAATGTAAATAAGTTAGCTGTATTACTTAACAGTCTGTCTGATTAAACAATAACAGTTTAATTGCTTGAGAATCTTAAGCCAATTGGTACTGTAATTAAAGTTTATCAGAAAATTCATTAAGAAAAAAACTTTATCATTTTATCCACAAAAATATACTGAAGCTAAAAGGAAAGTAATAAAACATTATATTAAAATGTACCTGTAATGGAGAATCAACTAAGAATCCAGTAAAGCTCTGTACGGTACAATCACTTTCCTTATCATTGTGAATAGACATCTGATATTTTCTAAATACTGAATGAGAATCTTTGAAACTTGAGAGAAATCCGTCTGATTTAGGTCGAGATTGATATAGCTTAATCTAAAAAAAAAAAACAATACCTGTAATGGTGAATCACATAAAAATCGTTTATATTGTTTAGGATTAGGTTTTTCTGGTGGGTCTTTATGAACATCCATTTGATATGTATGATAAACTTTATGAGATTCAGTGAATGTTTTGACAAATTCTTCACTTTGAGGTGTGGACTGAACAAGCCTGATCTGAAATAGAAAATCAATACATGCACTTGATTCACATAGAGATTGAAATGATATGAATTATTACTTGTAGAATCAAGGTATTACCCATACCATTTCCACTGATGAAATTTAGAATAAATAAAACATACAATTATTACCTCTAATTTATGAGCAGGATTTTCAACAGTGTCAGGTTCATTCAAAAATTCCTCTAAGGTTTTTTCTTTACTTTTATCTGATTTTATCTGCACAAATACAAAATAGTTCAAGGTTAAGGTTAAGTTACTATTGTCATTCATATGTTCATCATATTTGTCAACTTTCTTATAAAAGGGGATACACATTTCCAGTTGACATAACTTTATTTTAAATCCTTTTCTTCATAAGTTCAAATAAACTATGGCTTTCATCAGCCATGGTATCAACTGCTTATTACAATGACATTTAAAGTATTTTTCATTTGATTATTTGATAAGCTAATATTGTAAAACTTTTCAAAATTGCAATGTCCAATATTGCTTTGGCAACTTACTTTTGATGAATCACCAGTACTATGTAGTTTTTCAGCTTTCTTTTCTAATCTGATTTGTTTAGCTTTCTTACATGATGGTAAATTAGGATCAGCTCCTTTTCCTATTAAATATAAAACAGTAGGCTTATACTAATCTTACAGAATATATCCCATAATAGAAGCTTGAAATCTATATGATATTAATGCAATAATTAGGCCTAATATAGTTAAACCATACAATTCAAATGAGCTGAAAATTAGGTTGAGATTAAACTGTAGAAAAGAATATGAATTGATTTTCTACATAAACGACAATAAACTTAAAATATTACAGCCTACCTGGTCTAGGTGTAGTTTTACATTTATCACAGTTAGTTTCGGGTTCAGATTTTTCCAAATTTTTGACTTTCTGAGTTGATGGACTACCTTTACTCAGCTCTTCTACAGGTTGACTGCTTTCACCATGAGATACCTGATCTGGTAATGTTATATCACTTGGTGTATATTTTCCTGTTCTAAACTCCATATTGTCAACACCATCTTTACTATCTGAGGTTATACTGTCATCTCTCTCTTCTTTTTTATGTTCTCCATAAATCAAATATTTATTGACACGTTTTATCAACTTTTTGTGAGATTTGTTGAGTCGAAAATCAAGTGCAGCACATTTGATTGTATAGTGTGGACAACAAGTTATATTCATCGTTGGTTTATAACAATACTTTCCACTCCTTAAAAAATCAAATTACGCCAAATATCAATTGTGACAAAATAAATCTGCATTATTTGATAAATACCTAAGACAATCAATTACATTACATTAGTTTTGCAAAAGTAATCAATTACATTACATGATTACTTTCAATGAATCACAAACCCATATATAATACATTTATATCTTTATATTAGGGGAAAACCTAGAAAATGCCCAACCGATTTCAGATGGCCCGAGATGAATTTTGAGCTTAATTTGAGATTCATTTTCACTTTAGAAGGGGAGGGGGCCATGACCCAATGGCCGTAACCTAAGTACGCTATTCCTAATCAGATAAACAAGTCTACAATAGAAATTTATAGCAATTTTTTCAAGTATTGTCAGTTACTCAAATTTGTATTGCATTTTATCAATCACTCATTGTTGTCATTCAATGCACAATGTTCATGCATGAAGAATTTTCCAACAATGCTTAAGTCTTTCTACTAGTGCAGGAGGCTGGCACAATTGTATATTTTGAAGCCATTGCTTCCAAGAAGACTGGAAATTGACTACTTTACAAGCAAGTTGTACATGGTGATGTCTCTGAATAGAAAATTTAGAATATCATCGTTGTCTCGTAAGTAGTGGAGAACAGCCTTTTAAATCTATTGCTAGGACTGGTTAGACCAGATATATAGAAAGAAGATTACTGTAAAAGTTAAGTTAATTTAACCTATCAAGACCCTTTGTTTCAGTTAACCCCAATGAACCAATTAAACTAAAATACTATTACAACAAATTACAAATTGTATGACATTAATTGTTTTAACAGAATGCAAGTACAACTTAACTATTAGTGATCTAAGAGTCAAATTTCAATGTTCACTATGACCATCATGACCTACATGTAAAAAAAAAAAATTTCATTAGCTGGTCTGACAGTTTGTTAGCAAAGTAAAAGGATGGTTAAGTTTTCATCACATTTTGGTAGATTAATAAAACCAATTTGATTTAAATATCAAATTCGAAATTATCCCAAGGAGATGAATATCATATTTGATTTTGTTCTATTCTTTATCCTTTTAAACTAAAAAAAAAAAAAAATGTTTATGTTATACATTATGAACAGAGGGATTCGAAGTATAAACATATTTAGTTTTTTATAGGCTTATAACACATAACTTTGTCAAATGATTTCTTTCATAAACAGGTTCAGATTTAGTTACTAATTTTAGAACATCAACAATTTAGCTTCTTTACATTTTTCTAACAAGATGATGGGTGTTAGGTAATTCTACAATCAAGTCAATACTGAGCTGTTCTGGAATGTTTACCCCTAGTTATAGTTAGGTACTAATAACTAATAAAACTATAAAACTGGTCAGACTCAAGCCAACCCACCAGGCATGGTGGTAGGACTGATGACCATTAAATTCAATGCAAAAATAATGAAAAGTAATCTAAAAGTAATTGTTAGGAATCATGATTTCAGCCTCTTTGTGTAGGTAATCAATTACAATTACATTACTTGTAATTGAAAAAATCTTTGATTACAGATTACATGAAATTTTGTAATCGATTACAGCTGATAACAATTACAGATTACAATTACCCTAGGTCTGTCCACATGTAAACCTAATACCAGTATTTTTATGACATCATCAATGTCAAAATAATTCATCATCTCTTAAGGGCACCTGAGAGAGTGATCTCTGTGAAAAGAGTTCAATCTCAAATATGTTATTCACTATTTTCGATCATTTAGCTAAAATTCACCTGGAACATAGGGTTTCAAAATTTAGCTTCTGTATCCCTCTCAAAAGTAGAATTTAGTACTTTCATGCATTTATCGTTTTAGAATTGACTCATCATTTGGATGGCAGCATATCGGTAGACTATTCCATTTGTCGACAACTCTTTGTTCACATGAGTAGCCTAATATTTATGAAAAAAAATGATGTGTGGTACATACCGTCTCCAACCTCTATCTATCAAGTCTTGATAATCCTGCACAGTCATTGTATGTGCCCACATGCCTGAAAATAAATTGCATCAACTTTAAACATCATACTCTACTAGAACTGCATAAAAATTACAATAAAAAAAATATACTTCAAAATAGAAAGTTCTGTATAAGCTTAAGCCTTCAAATCTGTGTCTTCAGAATTTTAAGCATTTGAATATCAAAATGAGGACTCTTCATTTCTGCCATACCGATTACCATGTCAACGAGTTGACTGAACACCGCCATACTGAGGGTTAGGGGCACAATTATTGTTTATACATGTGCATTGTAGTATTTTTGAAAAAAAGGGGGTTTTAAACTTGAAAATCAAATTGAAGACCCAAAGTAACCTAATTTCGTTCAAACCTATTTTTTGTGCAACTCTGGAAAATGTTTACATGTTCGACCTCGCGTGACCTCCGCATTTGCTTGTTTTCATAATCATGGGGTTATTGGTACAATGTCAGCTTGCAGAATGAATCCAGTAGTTTCAAGCAAAGTAAAATGTATTAATTCCAAGTGTCGTCGGCTAGAATAAGCTTATATTTCAATGAACAAAGTCACGTGATTAACTAGCGGTTTACATGTCAGCAGAAAAATTTCATGGAACACAATAAAGGCCATATACTTATGTTGTTTCAATGACTTTTAACGATAAACCAATCATACGTCATTTTACTTATCTTATTTTGTCAGTCAATATTTATTATTTAAATCATTTATCTTTGAAGGAATTATTATTAGTTATAATGAATTGATATTAAAGATAAATACAAAGAGAAGTTGATTATACCATTGGGTATCCATACAACATGTTTTTCTCGACTTATGTATAGGTCAAACATTGTACACAAAATAGGTGACGCATTTTGCCGTCGATGTCGAGTTGGTTATTCATGAAATGTGGGTCAAAGTTAGAGATTCATAAAGAAAATCGACACAAACCAATTTTAATAATTTTATAGAATATCTGACGAAACATCTAAGAGATGGAAAGAAAATTTCGGTTTTTCAAATATTCGGTGTTGAATCCTTATATGCACGAAAATAGGCTATTCAACAAAACATAATAAAAAAAAAAGAACAGTCGCCATTTTACTATTATTGTCGATTGTTTAAACTGATGGTGAATGTGTCCCTTTAAATTTTAGAGTAAGAAATATTTCCTCATTCAATTCATATTCGTGCAATTTCTCAATTTGCAATCCTGTTCCTGGTCACCGACAGTGACACTAGACTAGTGTGGTGTGACATTTCATTCGAAAAGAAGTCTATACTATTAAAAAATAATTTACAATCTGAGTAAAAGAAAGAGAAGAAAAATCTCTTAAATTCTCACCATGTGAACAATTGGTATCTGGAGAACCACAATAACCACAACGGTGGCTTTCACGACCAGAAAAATATTCAACTATACTCCTTTCGGCGGCCATTATGTCAACAAGTAAACAAGTTAGCCTATACTGGGTTATATACGTTAATGTTGAGGACACGTTATAGTTTAGATGGGAAATCACATTAGAAGACTACAGCGTTAAAAACGAAGGTGGCCCAAACTTTAGACTATTCACACATAAAAAATATCCACAAGTTTAGTTAGAGTGTTTAGCTTTATCTTACAAAGACGATATTCGATATTGATCTATTTTCAAACTCTCTTTAGCTTATATCATGCCAAGTAATTTCTAAAGGGTCATAAAATTATAAAATTTTTCATAGATTGTAGTTATATTTATACGGAATGTTTCTGTGAATAGGTTCAACTACTGATACGATTATCCAGTACAAAAATAAATCCATCTGATACAGATGATAGAACTGATTACGCAAGGCCATGCTTACAGACCAAAATAAATTCCTATGCAGAAATATTATATGAAAAAAAAAATCAGAAACACCCATATTACTATTTTGCCACTTTTAGACTAGAATAAATATTAAGATAAATGAATATTCTTTAGATTCTACATTTTTGATTGACGTGTTTAATATTTTGACGTCTATTTCATGATAATACAGTGGTGTAACCTATTTTCGTGGATATAAGGATTCAACACCGAATTTCGTCAAAGTTAAAAAAACTAAATTTTTTTTTTTTTATGTCTTAGATGTTTCCTCAGATATTCTACAAAATAATTAAAATTGGTTTGTTTCGATTTTCTTTATGAATTCTTTACTTTGACCCATATTTCATGAGCAACCAACTCGGCAACAGCGGCAGAATGCGTCACCTATTTTCGTGTACAATGTTTGAACTATAAATAAGTCTAGAAAAACACGTTGTATGGATACCGGGTGGTATAATTAACTTCTCTTAGTATTTATCTTTAATATCAATTCATTATACCTAGTGACAATTCCTTCAAAGAACCACGATTTAAAAAAAAAATAGTGACTGACAAAATAAGATACGTAGCGTAATCGGTTTCCACGAAATTAGGTTACTCGACTGTATAGCCTTTATTATTATTTGTTTCCTTTTTAATTTAACCAATTTTCTGGCATTAACAATCAGCCAAAACCGTTTCCTCTCTATAGATTATTAAAGGTGCAGAAAAGTAGGACGTAAAGCTCCCTCCATTTCATTTCATCGTTCTCTTTTAGGTGTTGTTAATTTCATAAAATGCTGTTTTTAAAACACTTTGACCACTGTTCGATCAGTTTGAAGTCAAAGTAGGGGAGAATTCTTTAGACAATTGCCCGTCTTCCAATTTTCACTAAGATTGCCTGATAAATGAACAATAAACGTTTCCATTGCTTCACTTGATTTGTTGAAGTAAAATTACATCTATAATATCCAGTTATTTATTGAAAATTTACGTTCGCGGACACCTGTTTTTCGGAAAGGAATTGCAAAAAAGCGTTTCTAATGAACATAAAAAAAACATTATAATGCATGTAACGCTATAGCCTTCACAGCTAATAATGTCAGTCTCTAGAGAAATTAAAGTTTTAAAAACGGGTGACAAATAAAAAATGAGGGTGTCGAATAATTGTTTACCACCCGGGTGGCGAATATCCTCGGCCATGTGTTGTTGAGACATGATTTTTGTCCCTTGAGGGAATCATGATAATTTTCTGTCGCTTTCGGTGATTGGCTGAATCGCGCGGATGAGTCAAAAAGATCAATTTCTTATTGTCTGCTGGCTACCATCTGCGGACTTGATCTTAGTTATTGTCTGCAAACCATTGTCTGCCTAGTTGATCTCGACTTAGGCTAAACTTGTGTAATCGCGAAAAAGAATAAGTCAAGATTCTGCGAAGATCTACATTCCTGGTGATTGCCTGATAAATGAATAATTAATGTTTTCCATTGCTTCTCTTGATTTGTTGAAGTAATATTAGAGTCAGGGCTACCTCATACAATTGGAGTATTACATCTATATCCAGTTATATATTGAAAATTTACGTTTGAAGGAATCACCAATATTTTCCTTGTGCCGCTTCGTTGATTGGCTGAATCGCGAGGTTGAGTCAAAAAGTCAATTTCCTTTTTGTCTGCTGACTATCGTCTGTGGACTTGATCTTAGTTATTGTCTGCAAACCCTATTGTCTGCCCAGCTGATCTCGACTAAAAATGGCCTCTCTCTGGAAAAGTGTCCTGAGGAACAATTATGGAAATAAGGGGCTATTATCTATTCTCAAGATAAATGCACCGGTGCAAGTTACTTGTTCTAGAAATGTGTCATTCACATACCAGCCAGAGACTGCCCTGTCAACCCACGGTAAACTAAATCAACCCTACTCCATCTCTTACCTACGATACACTATGTCTGCACTGACACTGTGTAGACTAGACTTATAGAGTTCATATTGTGAACTTACTGTGCATTGAAATTGATCAGGCATAGAGCAACACATCCACACTGTAGTCCATGAATGTCAATACCTAGTTATGTTTATTTATCGCTAACTTCGGATTGATCGGCTAGTAGTGTTGGGTGTGAAAATTATCAAATTCCTACCGCATTTTTATACTTCCACATGAATATGGAAGGTGTACTGATTCTCAAATCTTAGTGAAATTGTTTATGATCAATCAAGGATGAAACCTTTCAAAAAGTTGATATGAGTTTTTGCCCTTGTTTTTGAAAATACATTCAAATTTGAGCTCCTATACACTCCAAAAGGTAAAATTGTTGCAGACTCCATACTATCTTCTTGAAGGCCATCAGCGATTTAATTTGGCTGCTACAAGAGGTTATGAACTTTCACACCATTTGACTTCCGATAAGGACTGACATGGTCTCCCTAATCATGTTCTGTAATTATATACCATACAATAACCATCAACAAACCACTGTGATTTCGGAGTCAAAGTTTGGCAATCAGTTTAAGTTTCCTATCAACTATGAAAATCACATAAAAACTGGACTATGGATTCCATTAATAAGCTGTCAATAGCAGCTGTCATAATTCAAACACTTTTTAACTAATACATATGTACACTTATTTACTTTTTCTTTTTGGACTTTTCTTGGATAATCATCTGCTTAAAAAAAAAAGCTAACTGACTTTGCAGGTTTTATTTTCAGGGGAGACTGTACGCATGAACTTTTTTCAATCCATAACAAGTGCTTTAGATATTGTCTTAGAAAAAGATCCTACTTCAGGTTTGTGTTTATTTATCGAAAATACAGAGTAGATGTTGAAACTGATTACTGCATTTTAATTAGTCATGCTGAGATTTAGGAATTTATTTTTAACTACAACATAGTCATGTCTTTGTGATTAGGCCCACTTTACATTTATATTTTACCCAAGTTCATAAGAGGGTATCTTAACTTATTAGGTAAACTGCTTTAATACAAAGTTTTATGTTATAAATTTAGAATTGTTGTTTTGTTACTAATCTTCCTATTTGCATGTTTTCTTTGAATTTCTAGTGATTTTTGGAGAAGATGTTGCATTTGGTGGGGTGTTTAGATGCACTGTAGGATTGAAAGACAAATATGGTAAATTATAATTTTTTAAATTTAGAAGCTCATCACATCACATCTTATGCTGTAAGATCATGCTTGTATCATCTGTGGTGGTCACTAGTCACATGCTTTGTAAAAAGGTAGAATAAAAGTAATCTAGGACACAAAGAGAGAATAAGATTGAAAATGGTAACTTCTGATAGATGTTGTTATTATTATGTAATTTATGAATTAGGTAAAGAAAGAGTGTTTAATAGTCCTCTAAGTGAACAGGGAATTGTATCATTTGGTATTGGTATTGCTGCTGCAGGAGCTACAGCTATTGCTGAAATACAGTTTGCTGATTACATCTTTCCAGCATTTGATCAGGTATGTACTGCTATTGTAAAATTGTATTTGTTCCATTCATTGAATTTGTTTGTCTTCTTGACAGTCTTGTCTTATTGCCCATTTCTCTGTCATGGCATATTCATTCCTTTCAGATCCTTCCCAATTTATAGTATTATATTTCAATGGGATTTGTTATCTTTCAGATTCATAATGAAGCAGCTTATTTTCGATACAGGAGTGGTAATCAATTTGATTGTGGTGGTTTAACTATAAGAGCACCATCAGGAGCTGTAGGTCATGGTGCTATTTACCATTCGCAATCACCAGAAGCTTATTTTGCTCACATTCCTGGAATTAAGGTAGATGATAAAATTTACATTGTAAGGAAAATTATTGATGTTGTGATATATTAGCATTCTCCTTTGGAAAGGCGAAAATTTAGTGGTTGAAATTAACTCAATTTTTTTTATGAATTCCATGTATTACTTTTTCAAATAAGCTATCTTAGCTTGGTTCTCTCAAAACATTTTGGATGATTTGCAACATACATTCCAGAAGAGAGAGCATTCTCTGCTTGTCTATTATGGTCTGTATCGAATGAATTTGGTAAAATATTACCCTCAGAAATATCCAGATAAATCATGTAAAATGTCATTAATTTTATCTTTCAGGTTGTTGTACCAAGAGGACCAATTCAAGCTAAAGGTTTATTATTAAGTTGTATTAGAGATAAGAACCCCTGTATATTTTTTGAACCAAAGATATTATATAGATCAGCTGTAGAAGATGTACCATTTGGTGATTATATGATTCCACTATCAGAGGCTGAAGTTCTAAGTGAAGGTATCCTCTATGTATTCCTTCATACAATTTGACCATCAATTTTGTCAATTAAACATTTACATGCCAAAAATGAGAGAGACAACATCTGCATATTAAAGGAGCATATGCGCCATTTTGGGGGGCGAGAGGGTGATTTGATTGTTGAATATATGTAAATAGTCTTCAGAAGTACTACAACATTTAAACATTCAAACGCAGATAATACTGATTATGGTATTTATTTTTCAATTAGGTACTGATGTAACATTGGTTGGCTGGGGAACTCAGGTACATGTGTTAAGAGATGTAGCATTAATGGCACAAGAGAAGTTGAATGTATCTTGTGAATTGATTGATCTGAGAACTATTTTACCCTGGGATGTAGATACTATAGCTAAGGTTTGTTTCTATTTAACTGTTCAAGACACTAGTCAATGTATGTGTCACCGATATTATCAAATACAAATAAAAGGGTTTCCAAACAAAAGCGAAAAAGGGTGAAATTTGGTATTTGCGGGAAAAGAAAGTGGTCTTGACATTGTAAAACCAATCTTTTTTCTTGTGATTTCTGCATTAGTCAATGTTTTGAATAAAACACAGATAAAAAATGTTTAACATTGTTGCAATTGATTTTGTTTTCCAGTCTGTTGTCAAAACAGGTAAATTGTTAATAGCTCATGAAGCCCCATTAACTGGTGGATTTGCTGCAGAAATAGCATCAACTATTCAGGTAGTGAATCTATATTTTTTTAAGCAATTAATTGCATTGAGTTCTGATATAGATCTATAAAACATTAAAACATGTTTTTTTTTTTTTTAAACTTCCATAAATTGTATTGTTGGATTTTATGTTTATGTCTGAAAACTGCTACTGATTGTTAAAACTGAGCTATATTAGCTGGTAAAGGAAAAATTTAGACAACTATATCTCTTAAAATATTTTCTGTTTTTATATTACAGTCAGAATGTTTCTTAAATTTGGAGGCACCAATACAGAGAGTTTGTGGTTATGATACACCGTTTCCTCATGTGTTTGAACCATTCTATATGCCAGATAAATGGCGATGTTTTGAAGCTGTAAAGAAATTAGTTGGATATTAAACCAAAATATATTATAGTGCAGTGACATTGATATAGACTATAGGTACACTCTATCACTCTAGTCTTTAGTTAATGAAATAGACAGTTATGCACGGTTGTGGAAGACACCATTTTTTCAAATTTTTCATAATGATGATGAAACATCCATATAGTTACACAGGTAAGGTGTTAAACAGTTGTTTTTGAGATTTTTCTTACATTTGTGTTCTTTTTGTGTTAATATAAATCCTATGTTTTGTTCAATATAGAATATATATAGAAAGTGATTATTTATGAAATATTTGTTCCATTTTATATTACTAATATGTTTTGTTTTTTTGAATGTTTTGTTGTTAGATTTTGATCACGAATATAAAGTTTTGAAAACCAGATCTGTGTATAATCAGCTTTAGCTTTCGTCCCCTTTTAATTCTTTATCTAGTTATCAGTATCTTTAAAAATTGAATTTGAATTTTAAATTTTTACATTAATCGCAATGTGAAGTGTGTCAAATTCTTTTTGTACATTTTTTATCATTACTCAAATTCTCTATTATACACATAGATATATATATATATAAATATCAATATTTGTTACTAGTTTTAATGGAAATAAACAGAGTATTTTTTATAGTAAAGGGACTATGTTTTTACCTTTGTTTCAAATTTTATAATCCTGTAGCAGAAGTTTGAATAGCCATAAAGTATGATTCGTCCTAATTTACCAATGGCTGCCTTGAAAAATTTTATTTTCTCAAAACTTGAAGGTCTGTTTTCAGCATAATGAAGTGTTCTCCCCTTAACTAGAAGTGTTTCTGATAAAGCTACAATGTTTATTTGATAAATACCAGCCTTTCAATGACAGTTCAATTTAATCCATATTATTGCTAAACAAGTCTGGAGTTGTATGAGCTTGGTACACTCACATATGGTATTTATGTTATTCATTTATTTTTTTATTGTGGAAAAACTGTTGGCGTAGCCCTGCATTCAAGCCTAACAAGGAGCAGAAAATCTGCATGTAAAATTTATTAGGGAGGTAATTGTATAAGTGTTTTCAAAGCACCTAAGAAATATGTGAACATTCCTTCATAATTAAGCCACCCCGCCTTTTCAAGTTTTATTTAGTTTAATACCTGCATTATACTGTTCTTGCATACTGATATATTATATTTTAAATTCAAGTTAACAAGTAAAAAAGTTCTATAACTGTACTTTTAAGGATAAAATTATAGCTATCATATAGTCAGGCAAAAAAAAAAAAACCCCAAAAATTTGAAAGTTCAATTGACGAACAATTGATTTAGAATAGAACAACCATTTAACACAAACTCGGAGACCAAGTTCTGTTCCAATGTCTTGTCTATGATTTTTTAGTTGAAGGTTCTTGTATATTCATATATTGTTACAGGAGATTAAGTCATTACAATGTCATTATATATGATCACTAAGGAAATTTGCAGTGTTATTTCACCTTATTAATAAATTTTTTGACATGCACAACATATACCTGATTTTTCTGATTATAGGCGTGTCAAAAAAAGGATTAACGTTATTTCATTGAATTAGGGCACTGAAAGCTACCTTTACTCATCATATTAGAATTATATAAGGTTCCATATATTTTTCTCAATCTGAATAAGTGATTTATTTCTTGTTTAAAGTAGAAAGAATGTTACTCTACTAATAAAAAAACAAACTCTATTTAATGATAATGTTGTAAAGTCAAATTGAAATTTACAATTTACCAGACAGTTACAATCTCAAATCTGACACAACTGGCAAATACAGCATCCAGTTAAATTTGTTAAAAATAAATGGTTTATGGTTAATAAAAGGAAAATTATATGTTGATAAGAGAGGTCAGATTTCTTTAAAGTAAAAGAAATGACATTTCCAGGAATGTGTTGAAATAGTTGCTATACATCAGCTGTCTTCAACTTTTGATTTGTTGATGCAAAAACCATAGATTATATCAATAGGTGCTATGTTTCTAGTGATATTGTAGAGTTGTTTATGCTTGGGAATTAGTAATGTATGTTTCAACAGTTATCAAACATCTTAAATATACAAATAATTTATTTGAATAATATTCCATTTAATTTTAACTATGATAAAAGTTGGTGTTGATGTTTTTTAATTGAAACCTTTAGAATACGTAGGAGACATAACAAACTTACAAAGTTTACAAAAACATTCAAAATAGTTTTGGCGCTAAAAATTAACGGCATTATTTTTTTTAGTTAAAACTATCAGATATGTTTAAGGATACATTTCTCTAGATTTTTGGTCTATAGTTTTTACAAATTTGAGGAACTAATCATAATGCCTCTTTAAAATTAACATCAATTCACATTCAGTGATCTATAAATGAATATAAAAAAAAAAGTTTGAATTATGACAAAATAATGATTAGATTTTCATATGTCCTCCTGTTTTAGTAAACTTTTTTTAATCTAAATTTTTATTCTCTAATAAAGCAATATTTCATTAATAAAAGCTTGCCTATTGATTGAAAGACGGATCTATTCCTTTATTTAATTTGAATCATCTTCTTCCCCCACATTTGATCTTTCTTTACATTAAAAATTAAAAATCCTTGTTATATTAAAATATTTTGATACTATATCCCTGAACTCATCTTTTTTTTGCTTATCATCATTCCCCAATAAAAGTTAATTACGGTACTGTAGTAGTGTGTAATACCTTTTCAATTGTCATTACAGTTTGACATTGACATAGTGGAATTCCCGCTACAAAATTCCCTTTTTTCTGTATCCAATCTCTCAATTGACACATTTTATTGTATTTCCCCATTGTGATGTTTTGTTTGATTGGCTGTTAAAAATATATCAGTGTATTCAGGAAGAATATAAAAAAATTCATTTTGAAAGTTACAGGTTACAAGGTTAAAAAAAAAAAGCATCCTAAAACTAATTAAAGGAACATCATGTGCCTTAAACTGCTGTAAAGTGCCATAAACTGGTAAATATTGCCTTTAAATGCATGTTTCAGCCCTTCATATCTCAGTTTTGAATAAATTGATAGTCTGATCATTTATTTTCCTTTTGACTCTTTTATTTTGATGTTGAGCATCTTCATCACTTACTTCCTAGACTATCAGATATTTATATCCATATTGAACTGGTATATATTTATTAAATAAGACACTATGCTAATTTGCTTTAATTTGGTATATTGTACATGTAACAATGTAGTGATTGCAACCTTTCTATTATAAAATTACATGACTAACAAATCAATAGTGATACACTCCTTTATCACTGTGTCATTCTCTAGTGCTACACGCCAATATTCTTTACATCGCTTCATAGCTGCTTCCATGTTATGCAGTTCTAAGGTGTAATCTATCTTTATGAATGAAATGTTTCCATAAAAGGAAACGATAGCTATTTTAAACTTGTTCCATTAATAGCTATTGATTTTACATTACCATATATATTAATACTTTTACACTTATCACAAGGAAAGTAGAAATAGATAGATAGAAATTATGACTAGACTGAAACTTTTATTTGGTTTCATAGAAATAGAATTTTTTCTCTATTTCATAGAATAGAATATTTAAAAGATATCAGATTAGCCCACTCAGTTTAAAGATACTTGTAAGCTTACATCTTATATTGACTATTCAATCTATTTTATTCTGAAAGTTTGTTATAGGTTTAAATATATATGGGCTGTAAGAAATGTAAATATATAATATATCAAGTAGTGGTAATTTGTCAATGTTAAAATCATCCTGGTATCTAGTATGTATGCACCAGATGCTATGTTAATGTTGTTTTTTTTACTGATGAATCAGTTTTTCATTGTAGTTCTTAACAACTCCTATGTAAGGTACTGGAAAAGATCACAACTCAATAAATCTTATTAGATGAAAAATACGGTTAGGTGTGAATGTTTTTATGTGCGATTTAAATTTGAATTTGATACGAATCAAACTAAACACAATAATCAATATGTTCAATAATTTTGTTATTCTTTGTCTTGCAAATTTCTAGATTTCTTGTTGATGTCATGGATCAAAAGATTATAATAAAATGAACAAGACACTGCAACTTGGGTGAATAATTACTAGATATAGTCAACATCTGTCTCTGTTTCTTCATTGTCAGGCATTTCCTGAAGCCTTTCTCATTTCTGAAAGTAAAAGTGAGTTTGAGAATTGTCTGGGTTAGACTGTACTGACCAAACTTCCATTACTTTCTTTTGACATCTGATATTAAAGCTGGGGTGATCATTCTTGGGAACTTTTGTGAACAGAGAAACATGAAAACTATCCCTCTATTGAATTAATAAAAAACATAGTTATTCTATAAATAAAACACTTGAATTCACTCAAAGTTAATTTAGAAAATAAGATGTAAAGGAACACTTATAAAGAAAGTTTTACCACGCTTTCAAACAAAGGAGTGAAATGAGGCACATTTCATGTTTCATGTCCCTATAAATAAATACTGGAACACCTACATTTATCTCTTTTGTGTCTTATGTGATGATTGTTATAATGGAAAATGGATTTTTTTAGTCTGATAGTGTAATGCCAGGACTCCATCTGTATTCCTCTGCTTAATCCAATACTATAATGCTAGGACTCTGTTTGTATTCCCCTCTTTAGTCCAATACTGTAATGCCAGGACTCCATTTGTATTCCCCTGTTTAGTCCAGTATTGTAATGCCAGGACTTTTATTGTTCTGTTATGTAATCAATATGAGTAAGTATATTAATAAGGACAATACTGTCTTTTCACTTTGAACTCTATATTTTCATGATGAAAAGCCATTCTTGATGACTGTCAGTACTAACTCTTTTCAACACGATCTTTCGATGAACATTTTTGAGATATTTCCCTTGACTTATAAAAAAATGTGTCAAAATTTGTTTTCATCCAATTTAAATGAATGTGGTGTGATCATTTATAAGGATGAGATTTTAGTCAAGATTGAATCATACGATTTTTCGATCAAAGGAATTTGAGTTATTGCCCTTGACTCAGT